AGGTCCCCAGTAGGGGGTGTGTGAGAGGCAAACAATCTATGTTTCTCTGGTACATTGATGTTTCTCTCCCTCTTTCTCCCTACCTTCCCCTCTCTCAGATAGATAGATGATAGATAGGCAGGCTATGACAGAAATACACATGCTCCAAACACCGAAATATGAGGCCTGTCCAGAAAAAATCCATTTATTGTTATTATAACAAGAACAGTTTGCAACATTGGTGTAACCTGGCAGCCAAGGTGAGTGGACTAGAATGTGCATACGTGAACAATGACAGCTTCACTGTACTTGTCAGTGGGGGCGGTAGAGACGCCATTGTGGAGGCCTATGTACTGTGTGGCCCTCACATTCAAAATGAGTGAGTAGAACAACAAATTTGAATCAAATTTCATGCTAAACTTGAACATTCCTCCATGGAAACTGTTCGGATGATTCAGAAGGCTACAGCTATGGGCAACTGATGATTGGCAGCTTCATCGTGACAGCACGCTTGTTCATGTATTATGTCTTGTGTAGAGTCTTTTTGTGAAACAACAAATCACCCAGGTAACTCAGCCCCACTACAGCCCAGACTTGGTGCCCTGTAATTTCTGGCATTTCCCAAAACTAAAATCATCTTTGAAAGCGATGAGGTTTCAAACTGTTGATGAGATTCAGGGAAATCTGAAGGGGTAGCTGATGGCGACTGGGAGAACTGTGTGAGGTCCCAAGGTACCTGCTTTGAAGGGAACTGAGGCATCATTGTCCTGTGTCCAATGTTTCTCGTATCTTGTGTGTTCTTCAATAAATGTCTCTATTTTTCATATTACGTGTCTGGGTACCTTCTGGACATACCTCATTTATTAAGCAAATATTAGCAGATCTTAAGGGAAAAATAGATAACAATACAGTAATAGTAGGGGACTTCAGTACCCCACAATCAGCAGTGCATAGGTTGTTCAGACAGAAAATCGGCAAGAAAATGTGACTGGACCACAGCTTAGAATAATTGACCTACCAGACATCTTCAGAACATTCCAGCCAACAGCAGCTGAATGTGTATTCTTCTCAAGTGCAAATGGAACATTTTCTAGAATAAACTATATGAATTTTAGCAAATTTTAAGAAGAATGAATCCCTACCAACTATCTTTTCTGACCACAGTGGTATAAAAATTAAAAATCAGCAACAAGAGACAAGTGAGAAAATCTACAAATATGCAGAAACTACACAATTCTAAATAACCAGTAGGTCGAAGAAATCAAAAAGGAAATAAAAATTATCTGAAACAAGTGAAAATTGGAATACAACTTGTCAGGTATTGTGGTGTGCAGCACACTCTTCTAAAATATCAAGGTGGAGGGAATAGTCCAAAACTCAATCTACAAAGCCAGCATTATCTTAAAACGAGATAAGGATTACAAGAACAGAAAACTAAACCAATATTCTGGATTAACGTAAATGTAAAAATTCTCAACAAAATATTAGCAAACCAATATCAAGAGCACATTATACACCAGGACCAAGTGAGATTTGTTCCTGAGACAAAAAGCGTTCAGTATATGCAAATCAGTAAGTGTGTAGTACATCACATCAATAAAGTGAAAGATGAAAATCACACGATCTTTTCAATAGACACAGAAAAAAGCATTTGACAAAATACAACATTTGTTTAAGAACTCTTAACATACTGGGTATACGTCAACATAATAAAGGCTGTATCACAGCTACCATTATATTCAATGGAGAAAAATTGATAGTGTTTAAGATCAGGAACAAAACAAGGATGCCTACTGTCATCACTCATATACAATATAGTACTAGAAGTCCTGGCCAGAGCAATTAGGCAAGATAGAAAAATAAAGACATCCAATTATGAAGGAAAAGATACAGCTATCCTTATTTGCTGATAAGATATATACATATATTTATATATACATATACATATACATATATATATATATATTCCCAGAATCATTCAGAAAATTGATAAATCATTGAATTAATGATGTCCATAAAGTGGACATTTTATGGATGCCCAGTCAACACACAGAAATCAATTGTATTCCTTCACACTAATGATGAAGCATCTGAAAAATAATAGCATTAAAAACAAAAATACTTAGGAGTAAATTTAACCAAGGAAGTAAAAGAGCTGTACAATGAAAACTACAAGTCTTTGCTGAAAGAAATTGGAGACAAACAAATGGAAAGACATCACATGTTCATGGATCAGAAGAATTTATATTGTTAAAATGTTCACACTGCTCTAAGCCATGTACAGATTCAACACAAACCCCGTCAGAATACCAAAGGCATTCTTCACAGAAATAGAAGAAACTGTTCTATAATTTGTGTGGAACCACAAACCCAAACAGCCAAAACAATCCTGAGGAAAAAAGAACAATGCTGGAGGTATCCCACTTCTCTATTTCAAACTATACTACAAGCCCAGAGTAACAAAAACAATATGATACCATTACAAAAAAGAGACATCAACCAAGGACACAACAGAGAGCTCAGAATTAAATCCCTGCTTATACAATCAGCTAATAAGGGAACCAAGAACACCCCGTGGGAGAAGGAGATAGTCTCTTCAAGTGGTGCTGGTTGATCAGGGCACATGCATGGGTTGTGGGCCAGGTCCCCAATTGGCATGTGAGAGGCAATTGATTGATGTTTCTTTCACACATTGAGGTTTCTCTCCTCTGCCGCCCTCCCTTCCCCTCTCTCTAAAAATAAATAAAAATCTTAAAGAAAAAAAAGGTGGAGGGAAAACTGGAGAAACACATGCAGAAAAATGAATCGGTCCCCTGTCTCATACCGCTCACAAAAATTAACTTAGTGAATTCAAAGACTTAAACATAAGGCCCAACACCATACAATTTCTAGAGGAAAAACTTAGGGAAGAAGCTCCTCAATACTCTCCTGGCAATGATTTTTTGGGCATGACCCCAAAAGTGCAAACAAGAAAAGCAAAAATCAACAAATGGGACTACATCAAACTCAAAAGCTTCTTTACAGCAAAAGAAACAGAATGAAAAGGAACCTACAGAAGGGAAGAAAATGTTTGCAAACTGAATATCAGGTAATGGGTTAATATCCAAAATATATAAAAATCACGTACAACTTAGCAACAACAAAAACAATGCAATTAAAAAATGGTCAGAAGAATGAAACACATTTTCCAAAGAGGACATCAAAATAGCCAACAGGCACATGAGAAGGCAGTTCAGTATCATTAATCATCAGGGAAATACAAATTAAAGCCACAATGAGATAATCACCTCACACCTGTTAGAATGTCATCAAAAAGATGAGAAAACAGGTGCTCATGAGGATGTGTTGTATAATATAAGGGTTTTCTTTTCATTAGTGGGAATGTAAATTGGTCTAATCACTATGGAAACAATATGGATGCTCCTCAAAGAATTAACAATGGATCTACCATATGATCTACCAATTCCACTTCTAGGTATTTCATTCCCAAAGGAAATGAAAATAGGACTTTGACACAGTATATGCACTCTTATGTTTATCACGGCATTATTCACAATAGCCAAGATATGGAAGTAACCCAAATGCCCATCAACAATCAATGGATTCAAAAGATGTGGTGCATATGCACAGTGGAATATTATTCTGCTGTGAAAAGAAGGATATCCTGCCATTTGCAACAATGCAGATGACCCTTGAGGACACTATACTAAACTACATAATTCAGAGAAAGACAAGTATGTATAATATCACTTATTTTTGGAATCTGGAAGCAAAAGATAAAACAACAACCCTGTAAAAACCAGAGTAGCCCTGGCTGGTGTGGCTCAGTGGATTGAGTGCTGGCCTGTGAACCTTAGGGTTGCTGGTTTGATTCCCAGTCAGGGTAATATGCCTGGGTTGCGGGCCAGGTCCCCAGTAGGGGGCGAAAGAGAGGCAACCACACATTGATGTTTCTCTCCCTCTTTCTCCCTCCTCCAGAGGATGGGGTTAGGGGTAAGATTGATGGTATTTAAGGGCACAAACTTGGGATGAGTGATAAATAAGCAATAGAGATTTAATGCACGATGCAGTTGACCCTTGAATATTGTTAGTTTGAACTGCTCGGGACCACTTAACAGCGATTTAAATTCAGCTGTATAATGAATATAGACAATAATATTATACATTAAGTAGGTAATATAAACATCACTGTAAGGGCAATTATAATATAATATACACATGTATCAAAGTAACACACCATTCCTACAGGAGGTTACATGTCACATTTTTTTCAGTAAAAAAAAACTGGACAGGTCTTGAATTGTCTGGCTGGGAAGTTTGGACTTCGTTCTGTAGATCAGTTGGTTCAGTAGCAGAAAATCGAGTGGGTTGAGTGCAAGAGTAGGGGCTGGAAGATTAATTAGATCTCTGCACAGCTTAAATAAGGATAGTAATGAAATGGGTAAAGATTGGATGTAGGAAATGTAAAAAGAGAATCAGATGTGGCAAATGAGTGAAAGTGAGGGATAATGGAAAGGGAAGAGCCAAGTTAACTTGTTTTTAAAATCTTGGAATTGATAGGTTTAATTTCACGAAAAGTAAAAACTCCAGTATTCGAAACAGTCTATAAATTTCTAAGGAAGACTAGCCCACCCTGGCTGGTGCGGATCAATGGACTGAGCACCCGCCTGTGGACTGGAAAGATTTACAGTTCAGTTCCCAGTCCAGGCACACCCAGTTGGGGATGTGGAAGCAGCAGCCGAGCAGTGTCTCCCTCCCTCTCTTTCTCCCTCCACATAAATAAATAAATAAATAAATAAATACCCTATGTAAATGATACAAAACTATAAATTGTAAAGTTGAGAGTTCTTGGAAAGCCACTAGGAAAAGATACATCAGTAAAAATGTGTTATTTCAGATGATGTTTTCACAGGTTGTCAGAGAATAAAATAAATGAGATGTTTGCACAGGCAGCATTTATCAGAGTTATACACAATATTTTAAAATTCTATTCTTATCTTTACCCTGTGCAATGTCTATAGGTGTGTATGCTTGGATCGGCATTAATTTTGTCCTCGGACGATTTGAGCATATTGAAGATGGTAAGTATGTTTCCAGCTAATGCATCTAACTGGAAGTTATGGCCTTTTCTGTTGGTTCTAAGGGCTAAAAAAGGAGCTAAGCGTTGTGGCACAGCTAAACATGTAGGACAGAGTGAGAGAAGCTGCTGTCTCGCACAACTTGGTTATAGTTGGGAAGAGGAGGCTGGGTTTGCTTAGAAATGTTTGAAACGCACCCTGGAAACAAGATTACACCTCCGAAGATCCCAGTTCTCTGGATTTGTTCCACACCCACAGATATGTCTCGTTCTCTGCAGATGACGAAGCAGTGGTGGAAGTGAACATTCCTGGTAGTGAAAGCAGTGAAGCCATTCTCCGCAAAAGAACTGCCGGTATTCTCGACATGGGAGGCGTGTCAACTCAGATAGCATACGAAGTCCCCAAAACTGTAAGCTTTGCCTCCTCACAGCAGGTATTATCTGTACAAGTTTCCTTCTTTTTGATTTGGTTTTATTTAACATGTTTCCGTCCATTTCTGTTTTGTTTTCTGAGTCCGAACACGTCTTTACTGTGCTTGCTGAGGTACCACCTTCTCAACCAGGAGAAAGCAGACAGGAGGAAGCCAAGGCAAAGCTCCCCTAAGCCATTTGTGTGTTCATTGAACTCGGCTGGTTTGTTTTCTGAACTCACGTGGAGTTTTTCTTTGGTATACATGTCAGTCAAATACTTGAGTTTTGTTTACATTTTCTCTTCAATTACTCTTTTCTCAACAGGGATTGTAAAACTTAAATAGAATAGCATCAGATTTCTTAAGTTACAATTGGGGAAAATACTTTTTTATTTTTTTATGGCTCTGATAGTTTTTGACTTTTCTGGAAAGTACTGCTTCCACGTTTCTGAACTCTGGTTCACTCTGTCTTTCTCTGTCCTCTCGTGCTCCCTGTCAGTGTAGTTTCCCAGTCGGCTGTGGCCTGTGTGGAGAGCAGCGGAAGGGTTTCCAGAGGTGCTCCTGATTCCCATGTGCCTTTATCACTCTCTGTCCATTCTGCTGTACACTAATGCCAAAGCCTGGTTTCCTACACTTTCCCGGAGCGTAGAGTGGTAGTTAAAAAAGACTGGTGCATCATCAGTTTGTCCTCACTAATTGTGTGTGTGGCCTTAGGCAGAGTCACTTAATTTCTTTGATCTGGTTTTCATCTACAAATGTGACTGCAAGTGCTTCTAACATAGACTTACTATTACGTTTTATAGGATAGTGTATATAATATATCTAATGCATTGCTAGGCACCTAGTGTTCTTGCAATAAATGATACATTAAACTCCTTAGAAAAAAAATTTTTTAAGGATTTTATTTATTTTTAGAGAGAGGGGAAGAAGGGAGGGAGAAAGAGAGGGAGAGAAACATCAATGTGTGGTTGCCTCTCACATGGCCCCCATTGGGGATCTGGCCCACAACCCATGCATGTGCCCCGATTGGAAATCAAACTAGTAACCCTTTGGTTCACAGCCCAAGCTCAATCCACTGAGCTATACCAGCCAAGGCAGGAAAATTCTTTGTAAATTCAAGTATTGCAATCTGTGTTTCCTACTTCCCATCCAGACATGCCTCCAGAAACTATAACAATCTGTAAAAAGTCACATTATTCCCTTCAAAATAAAGTAAAAAAATATATAAAGCAAGCTTGGAAAAAAATAGTGAAAAGGCAGGATTAAAATTTCCCATGAATGCATCATTGTGAAGAAAGCATTTTAGCATTTTGATGTTTTTTTTTCATTCTTTTTTCCCTATTCATATTTTTTTAATGTGGTTTTCATAATATTACTGTTTATTCAGTTTCATGACCTTTATTTAACAGTGCATAAGTGTGTCCCTCCATAAACTTCACTAGGATAAATTACTAAATCCTCCTAGGAGTTAGGACATCCAGCTTTTTCTGTCCCAGAATTACAAAAGACATCTTTGTGTATAGAGACTTTTCAATGTTTAGGATTATTTCCAAAGCATAGGATTCCATAAACAGATTATTAGGTTAGCAGATGTCAACTATATTGCCAACTTTCTTTATCAGTAAGCTGTAACAATATCACAGATGGGTAGTGCATCTGAAATTTCCTAAGTCAGAAATGTCACATTGATTTGGGAGGGATGCCTAGAAGGAAATACAGAAGCAGAAATTTTTGGTCCATTTAGATGAGAGTCTTTTGACGTTTTTCTTTTTAAAGAAGGTAGTTGTTTTTGTGTTGCTTAAAATATTAATTTTGTTATTCTTACATCATCAGGAAGAAGTGGCTAAGAACTTGCTGGCTGAATTTAACCTTGGATGTGATGTTCATCAGACTGAGCATGTGTACCGAGTCTATGTGGCCACATTTCTCGGGTTTGGTGGCAATGCTGCCCGGCAGAGATACGAAGACAAGATATTTGCCAACACAGTTCAAAAGAACAGGTAAAGCACCTTTTCTTGCTTAGCAGTCAAATTCAAATCCATGTCTCTCCTCCTGAAGACCTACCCAGGCAAAGCAGGAATACCTCAATCAGCAGAAGCCTGTCAGCACTGTTAGCTTTTTATTCCTCTGCCTATTGAGCTGGGAGAGGACATAGAGGACAGTGGGGTCCGGCCCTCAGCCCCGCACCCCAGCAGACTCCCAAGAAGGCTCGCTGACCCTCAGACCCACGCCTCCCTGATGGACTGGAAACTTCCCTCTCAGGACGTTAGGTAGCTCAGAGCCCCAGGTAATGCATGTTGTTTTCACTAATGTGTTTATTTGCCTGTCTTTTGCTCTGGACCACGGTGTTTTTTAAGGCCAAGTCCATCATTTCCAACATGCACTACACCACTCAATTTAATGTTGTTTTGGCTTAAAGAATACCAAGAACTTACAGGCATTTGTGAAGAACTTGGTATCAAGTCCATTTAGCTTTTTACTTTTTTCTAACTTCTTTTTTTTCTCTTTAATATGTTTTGACTAACTTAAATAAAAATGCCACTTAGTCCCCTATATTCCCCTCCCCTCGGCAATCACCATCCTGTTGTCCATGTCCATGAGTCCTTTTTCCTTTTTGCTCAATCCCTCCACCCCATCAACTCCCCCCTCCACTAGCATTCATCTGCTCTCCATCTATGAGTCTGTCACCATTTTCCCTGTTTGTTCATTAGATTCCACATGTGAGGGAAATCATTTGTCTTTCTTTGACTGGCTTATTTCACTTAGCATAATTTTCTCCAGGTTCATCCATGGTGTCTCGAAGGGTAAAATTTTCTTCTTTCTTCCATCTGAGTACTATTCCATAGTGTGAATGTCTCATAGTTGTTTTATCCACTCGTCTGCTAATGGACACTTGGGCTCTAAATTCTTTTTAAATCTTGCTAACATCAATTTGACAGCATTCTCTGGCAACTCAGCTTTATCCTATTTTTCTAAGACATCTAACCTAGTTTTCACAGGACACATTTTCACTTGTCACTTCTTTTTCACATTTCTTCCACATATAATAAAAATCAAAAAGGGGGGCTGGAAACACGCAGTTAGTGGGCACTTAGCAGCAGTGAACTAGGACAGAGAGCAGCTCACTGGCCACAGGCACTCAGTGGTGGGGACACCGGGCTGTATACAAGGAACGAAGGCGTGAGGTCACCTCACCAGGTAGTTGTTTCCCTGATTCTGTTAAGGTGTCTGCTATATGAAAGTGTGTATCACGAATCTCCAGGTGGGGCTCAAGTGTATCCTTTACTAACTTAATTATCCTGGAACCTTCTGTTGCCACAGGACACTGGGCAAGGTATGTGGTCCATAGAACACACTTTGGGAGGCATTGACTTCAGAACACAGTTTTCTGTCAGTCTCATGATCAAGTTTCTCTTTTGCCATAGGCTCCTGGGAAAGCAAACTGGTCTAGCTCCGGATACTCCATACCTGGACCCCTGCCTACCCCTAGACATTAAAGATGAAATCCAGCAAAATGGACAGACCATGTACCTGCGGGGAACAGGAGACTTTGACCTGTGTCGACAGACTCTCCAGCCTTTCATGAACAAAACAAATGAGACGCAGACTTCCCTCAACGGGGTCTACCAGCCCCCGATTCACTTCCAGAACAGCGAATTCTATGGCTTTTCTGAATTCTACTACTGCACTGAGGATGTGCTGCGGATGGGAGGAGACTACAATGCTGCCACATTTACTAAAGCTGCAAAGGTAACCTTCAGAGAGACCTCCATCTGCGTGCTTCGGGAGACTGGGGTGGACAGTGGCAGGCCTTGTCCTCCCTTCACCACTGGAGGCCCAGGTCAGAGAAGGGAGAGGAGGAGGATGGAAGGCTCTCATGCCACACGTTGGGGATCCTGTTCCCTCGGTTGGGCAAGGGGAATGGTCAAGCAGGAGCCCAGACTTCTCTGTGAGCTGACTTCTGCCCCGCAGCTGAACAACTGCCCTGGTCACCAGTGGCTCCCAGGTTGTACTGCTGCATAATACTGGGAGCATTACCTGACAGTACTTTCTGCAGCCTTCCAGGACTTCCATCTCAAGTTCTCCCTGCCTTTCTGGGTCTCTTGGGCTCCCTTAAAGGTTCCCCCCTCACACCCCTTAATCCTTGGTGGTCCCAGACTCCCACTCTTGGCCTTCTGCCTTTCGTGTTCTCGGGTGATCTCGTCCATGCTTGTTATTTGCTGCTGTCTCTCAAGGAGAGGCTGCGGTGCCGACCCCACGCAGTGCCTGCTTGCTGTCCCAGCACCACATACACCCACCGTTTCCTCCCTGGTCTGTTCCGTCTTGCTCTCAGTTAATGGTCACTGAACATCCAGTCCCCTGTCACGTGTTCATCCCTTGCTGGACACTCCTGTATGACCAAGCACGTCACTTGATGTCATATAGATATTTCTCAGCCACCTTCCTACTTTCTGTCCTAGTGTTGTCGTCCTAGTCCAGGCCTCTGTCCATCACCAGCACTATTGCAGGAGCCTCTCAGTTGGTCATCTTGTGTCTGATCTTCCTCCATCATTCATCTTCCAGCTGCTCCCAGACTGTTGTGTCAGAACACAAGTGCAGTCACCTGCCCTCCTCTTTAAAATCTTCAGTGGCTTCCTTTTCCTCCCAGGGCACATTTCAAATCCCCTCTAGAGCGTCATCTTCCCACCTGGCTCTTTATACTATAATTGCCTCAGACAACCCCTTGTTTCCCTCACTCCTGTGCTACTTGCTCCTTGTCTTGGTTCCTGGTGGACCCTGGCCTGGAGTGCCTGTCCTCTCCCTCTCCCTCCATCCAGAGTGCTGTTCCTGTTCCCTGTCGAAAGTTTCTCAGCTTCTCTGAGACTCTGTTTCTTCATCCTTTACATAGAGATTAGAATAGTAGCCATGTAAGTGCTGTGACACCTCTTTGTTTTCTCTCAAAGACAGAGTCTTTTGTAACTGTCTTTGTGTCCCAGAACCTCTCACTGTGCAACCACACACAGTGCTGCTCGGTCACAGCTGGCTCAGTGCCAACTCACTTCCAAACACCTGTGCTTGTCACATGTAGTCATGGAAGGAGACACTGAGCCATTTTCAAGAGGTTGGTGTGGGCAGTGAAATTCTCTTTAACAATCACTTCGGCAGAATTTTAAGACAAAGAACAGCATTCTTGCCCTGACCAGTGTGGCTCAGTGAGTTGGGTGTCGTTCCACCAAGCAAAATGTTGCTGGTTCAATTCCCAGTTGTGGGCATGTGCCTGGGTTGTGGGGGTTGATCCACGGTTCAGGGCAGGTACAGGGTGCAGAAGAGAGGTGACTGATCGATGTTTCTTTCTGATATAGGTGTTTCCCTCCTCTTTCTCCCTCCTTTCCCCCTCTCTCTCAAAATGTCATAAAATCTGCCCTGGCTGTTGTGGCTCAGTGAATTGAGTCCTGGCCTGAGAACCAAAAGGTCACCAGTTTGGTTCCCAGTCAGGGCACATGCCTGGGTTGTGGGCCAGGTCCCCAGTAGGGGGTGCACGAGGGGCAACCACACACTGATGTTTTTCTCCTCTTTCTCCCTCCCTTCCCCCCCCTAAAAATAAATAAATAAAATATTTAAAATACATAAAATCTTAAAAAAAAATAAGAACAGCATTCTCTGATCAGTAATATTCACTGAGTGGTCGTGTGTCTTCTTGGCACACACATATAAGTTACACTTCTGTTCTAATTGGAAGGATATGTTTCTTATGAATATGAATTTGATAAACCCTTTTTAGTGAAAAAACATTTACCCCAATGATTTATTTTGAGTAAAATTTCTTTCAGGATTATTGTGCAACAAAGTGGTCCATCTTGCGGGAGCGCTTTGACCGAGGACTGTATGCCTCTCACGCAGACCTCCACAGGCTGAAGTAAGTCGTGGACGGGCAGGCCCCGGGTGTGTTGGGGAGACCAGGCATTCAGTAGGGCCCCGGCTCGCCACACCCCGGCCCAGCCTGCCTACCTGCCTGTCCTCATCAGTCACTGCTGCTCCTCATCTGTCCTGGCTTCCTTTCGGACAAGACAGCAAACAGTTGAGCCCAAACATCCTGCTCCACACATAGTTTTACTCAGTTTTGCTGTTCTTTCCACCTGGAATTCCCCTAGTCATCCTTTGCCATTGAAATCCTGCCCGGACATCACAGTGAGGGAGGGGGCTGTCTTTTTTGTCCTCCTCTGCCCTTTCAGCCAGAGCCCTTCCTTCTCCCCGAGCCTCCAGAGCCCTCAGGTTTCTGCTGGTGTTTGTCATTTCTGCTTTGTATCTAGGTATCTGTTGCTTTTCAAAAATCCTCCCATTTTAAGTTAAGTGCATTGACCATTATTTGTTAATTACATCTTATTACTTAGCCCGATGCTTTGCCAAAAGGAAGTCTCCAATAAATATTTAGAATCATAGAATAATAGAGCTGAAAAGGATCCTCCTCTTTTTCATTTTATAATAAAGAAACTGAGGTCCCAAGAAGTTGGAGCTTGTTTGGTATTTATGGAATAAGTAAAAGATGCAATGGCAGAGGCAACATCTGTCACAGCATTGCATTTAATTACACTGAGACCAAGTTTTGTGAGCTTATTGATTTGGACAGGCAGGCTGTTGTGTGTTGTGAGACAAGGGACATAAGCCAAGTAAAGCATGCAATGGTTTGGGCTGCTCAGGGCTCCGGCTTCAGGAAGCCTGTGCACCCACACTGGCCCCAGAGGGGGCCCGTCTCCGTGCACAGTTTATCTTGACCAGTGACCCAGTGCCACCTCTGTCTGTGCTCGGTGCCTGCAGGTATCAGTGCTTCAAATCTGCCTGGATGTTTGAGGTGTTTCATAGCGGCTTTTCGTTTCCTGTTACCTACAAAAATTTAAAGACCGCCTTGCAAGTTTATGACAAGGAGGTTCAGTGGACCCTTGGAGCAATTCTTTACAGGACCCGCTTTTTACCCTTAAGGTATGGATGTGAATTTGGTAACAAGCATCAAACACAAGATGCTTTTCTTCAGTTACAATGCACCACGGCAACTGCGGCCTGCGGGTGTCTGGTGCACTGGGCTGAGGTGCAGAGTCGTACACTTTGTGCTGTCCCCCGCCCCCCTCCCAGTGGTGCTGTACCAGGGCATGATTATTCTCGAGTGCCAGTCCTCCCGACCCTGGACAGAGCATTGACTCCTGGGTTTGTGGGAGGCCTTTGTGGCTTTGCAACCCTTCTCAACACACTGTCTTTAATGCTACTACATAGGTCACACAGGAAACCATTGCACCGAAATGTTTATGAAAATACTACAGAAAACACATTTGTGGTATAGTGATCTATGTTCTTTATTAACATGTGAAATAACAAGGTTTGGCAGCAGGAATAGTGCCTTCTGTAATTTCACTGTGGTGACACATGTCATTATTTTAAGACATCTGCAAAGCACCACAGTGTGATATGAAAAGTCTGTGAGTGCCACCAGGAGCAAAGTCCCAGGTCCTGCCGATACCACAGTGGTTTGCTGGCTACATCCATGTTCCATGGAGACCCTGCATTAGTCAGAGACTGACACGGGCTCACAGACCCCCACAGAGGGACCCTGCTTCACTGGTAAATGAGATCTTAGCTTTTGGGGTTTTCCCCCTCATTTAACTGAGCTCCAAGCAATACATGGAGCTGGTTCACTGGAAAAATTGCAAGTAGTGGGTGGTACTGATCAGAAACTGGTTTGTCCCACATTGGCTTCTGAGTAACTAGCGAAACCCTCACGGTTCTACATTTCTCTGACTTTTGTTATAACCAAGTTACGATGGTGGTGACTGCTGCAGACCAGTGAGTACGCTTTCACTTGGGGCCTGGTTAGCACTCACAGCTGTCGTCTGGTAGGCCGGATTTAGAGGTCAGGAAACTGAGTCTTGAGACAGGATTAGTTTCTGTCCTCAGAGCTGCGTCCTGACCCGTGTCCTGTGCACTGTATGTCACACGCCTAGCCCGATCAGTTCTCTGTTGCCTCTCATCTGGCTTGTTTTTGTTCCCTTGTGGGCAGAGATATCCAGCAGGAGACTTTCCGGGCCAGTCACGCGCACTGGCGGGGCTTCTCCTTTGTCTACAATCACTACCTGTTCTTCGGCTGCTTCCTGGTGGTCCTGCTCGCCATCCTCCTCTACCTGCTGCGGCTCCGGCGCATTCACAGGCGGATGCTTCGCAGCGGGTCGGCCGCCGTGCTCTGGCTGGAGGAGGGCCTCCCGGCCCAGAAGATTGGGGGTACCTTATGAACCAGATGCAAGGGAGAGAGCCCGGGAAGACTGGGCTCTTAAAGGAAAAGCCATTTTTGCCTCAGGGTTTCTTCTCTTTTTGTTTGGTTTTATTTTTCCTTTCCCCTTTTGTTCCTTGAAACAAAAACAAATTCCATTGTTTGTAAAAACTCTCCTGTCCTGGAAGAATCACATTTAGCCCTGTTTTGTACACAGCTTTAAATTGAGGGTTAGGGAAAAGGGAAAATCACTTCATTTTTGCTGCATAGGATATTTGCCAAAAATTACGAAGGTTTTGGTTTTTCTTTTAAGGTATGTTCAGTTTTAAACAGATGCACTTTGATATTGGAGGAAAGCAGCAAAGGTGTTTTCTATCAGTAGAGCTAGGACCGAAGGGTGATATTTTAAGGAACCAAAAAACCTACTGAATGAAATTAAAATGCTTTTTTTTCCTCTACCTTAAAAACTAAAGAGGACGTTTAGTTTTTATTTATTGTTTAGGTCTGTCACTATATGTTTTCTTTGCAGATTTAAAAAATCAAAATCTTTTATATCCAAAAGAGAGAAAACTGGTTACCAAGAGGTAATTATTTTTCAAATTGATAGTGAAGAGACGTGAAAAATGTGAAATAATGACTAGAGTGCTGTGTGTGTGTGTGAAAATGGTAATGAAAGTGAATGAGGGATACAGTGTTCTTTTAAAAACACACACTTCAGAATTTTCGTTTTCATTTTATTTTATTTTATTTGGAAAAATCCACTACCATGATCTTATCCTTTGATCACGGTAATCAGTTTCTTCATCTTATCTTTCAGTGGCCTCAGAACACTCTGTTTTTGAATGAGCCAGAAAATTTGTGAAGTTTCACTGGTTTCACTGGTTTCAACTCAAATTACTAGAATTTGAGCTGATGGCAGCTGACAGGCACATCCGTGTTTCTTAATAATGCATCTTTGCTTGTTTAGCTGCGCTCCAGTTTCTTACAACTCAAGGTTGGTGTCCCGCCCTCCCGATTAAAAACCGCCCCAGCAGTTCATTCTGAAGATCCTGCCGTGGCTCAGTATGTTCTCTTCACCACCGTCATCCTGGGCGAGGCCGCGTGGGCACCACCACTGTGGCCCACGCTGAAAGAAGGGTCCGAGTGTCACACCAAAAAGAAGCCCACGTTTTGAAGAAAACAAGTTTGACATTTTAAATAAAAAAATTTAAAAAGACCAATGGATTGGCATATGTGAGGTCAGTTGTTTTTCACCTATTCGTTTAGTTTGGAACCACTGGGAATTCGTGCCTTTTTAAAGTTCTTTCTGTGTGCGAGCATGTGCACTGTTTAACTTCAGGAGAGTTAAATCCGTCTAGTTGGTAGCAGATGTGCATTTTGAGAACCATCAGTTGCTTTTTTAAAACATTGTTGATTAGAAAAAGAATTTAGATTCTGAAGTGCTTATGTAACCAAGGGGGGGAAAGTGGGAGGCTTCTATCTTGTTTATTAATTACTTAAAACCATGACATACTATATGTTGATGATTTAAAAGATCACAAAAATTTTTTAAGATTTTACTTATTTCTAGAGAGGGGGAAAAGAGGGACAGAAATATCGATGCAAGAGAAAAACATCAATTGGTTGCCTCTCAAATGTTCCCTAACCAGGAATCGAATTGGCAACCTTTTGATTTGTGGAGTGACTCCCAACTCACTGAGCTACACTGGACAGGGCTAAAAGGTTACAAATTTATGAAAGAAGTGGAAGTTCTATTATTCTCCTTAAAGCGAATATTCTAACAGTGAAGAAATTTTTGGTAGAATATTTGCCTCTCACATATCCGGAAGGTAGGAAGAGTTGTGTGGTGTTATAGGAACTAATGTGGCGAGTCTTGTTTCAGAGAGGATGGAGAAAAACGTGCCTGTGAAAGAGCCAACTTCTGAAGTGCTGGTCTCCAGATAGTAAATCCTTGGTCCCTGGTAAACACTGTTCTCGTCAAGACCCAGCCACAAATGACCTGTGTCACACATACCCGGACGTAGCATGAGGGTGCATGCTTCTCAAAGTCTTCAAGGGGTTTGCTCTGTAGCCTGTGGGTGGCATTAGTGGTGAAGAGGAGTAAGTTTCCACTTTAGCTTTTCTCCCACCAGTTGTTTGGAATAGGAAGGCCTGAACAGTAGAATGAAGAGTTTCAAATGCCTTGAGTATGCGATTTTGCCTTTAAAATCAAGGCAAGGATAAGCTAGCATGGGCACAGGTTTAAATAGCCCTTAATTAAGACTTCCTACCACAAACAGCTACTTATTGAATAAAGAAGGCCAGTTGGGTCCCACTCTGTACTGTTCAGGAGACAAACCCAGGGAAGTTCTGCTTTATGCCTAGCCTAGGGATCCTCTGCAAGGACCACCCACCCTCCAGAGGACATCCCCAGATCAGGGTCCCCAGGCCCAGACAGCCCTTGAACTCGCTCAGGTGCCTGTGTTCCCGCCAAGAACTCCCTGCAGCTGGCAGTTTGGCAGACTTGCTCACAGGGAAAATCTGGAAGACCCTTGAGCTGAGAATGGTGTTTCAACTTGTAAAGGGTAGTTAGAGACAAAAAGAGGGAAGAATGTGCAACAGACACTGGAGTGTAGAGCCTGAACTACCTACTGAGTGTCCCTTCACAGAAGACATTTGCTGATCCCTGTGTGAACAGTGCCATTCGAGATCACTTTTCTGATAAACCAGGAAAGCTGCCCATCCCCAATGTATAAAAGGCTATTCAGGAGGGCTCGCTGTGTTGTGTTGAAACATCTGCAGTTGTGAGATGTCACCTTGTTTTTCATCACTTTATACCACAGGAGATAAGAGACTAGGCCAGGGTGGGCTGATGTGGGAGGTGAGCCAGGGAGGAGCTCCATTCAGGAGAACTCGTGTCCTTTAAGGGCTGGCCAAAAGGGCCATAAACTGAATAGACAGCAAGAAAACGGGGGGGCCTGCTGAAAGCCTTGTCAGAGGAGAACATCTGTGTGGGGCCTCTGCTCCGTCGCCGTGTGCGCCCATTCAGGCTGCCGGAGGATGCGCCTGAGCCTATGCAGGCCATTTAGGGAAATCACGGTGGAATTACAAACATTGTTTTGTACCAGTGGTTTTTGCACATTTTCACCCTATACTGCTTGGCTCTGGGCAGCACCCCCACCCTGGGGTCAACCAAAGAGGCTGCGGGGGCTCAGCCTGGCCGCCCCAGAGGCGGAGGAGGCATGTGTTCACCACCCACGTCCCCACCTGTGCGGTGCACTCAGGTTGGCACACTCTAGATTAACAGATACTGAAGTTCTAAACTCAGGCCTACGTAGAATAGTTTTCCTCATAAAGAAGCATGTGTATCACTTGGCAAGAAACACAAAAAAGGCGAGTGTGTTTTCCCAGCTTTAAAAAAATACCAGCTTTAGGATTTTGTGCGGTAATGTGCAATGCAGCAAAACTACCTACAGGTAAATTATTTAGTTATTTCTACGTCTGTTCTTTATGATACTGAATTTTCCCTTTCAATAATAAATGATGTGACTAACCAAGGAGAATTGTTTGGTTAATAAGATTATGTTTTACAGTTAGAAATTACAAAAACTGAGGGAACCTAAATGTGCTTTATTTAAATGATGTTTTCCATATTTAAATGATGTTTTCCATTCAAGGGAAGAATAATTCCCTTTGGGGGGCTGTGGTGTCCTATCACTTTCCATTTGGGGAACCTCACCTTTTTACCCTTGCACATCAGTGGGTGTTGAGAATCAAAATGAAAGTTCATCAGTGTGAGCTTGCGTTCTGTGATTTAAACAGGTTTTTCTCTGATGTTTGAATCTTGTTACCTGTTATAGTGCTATGTCAATTCTAAATTTACTAAAATAAATTGTCTGGGTCTGACCACACTCCGAGTTGGCTGTATCTAATGTGCATGTGGTGCCGTAGCACCGTGCATGTAGTGCGGGTAGGGCGTCTGTTCGTCCTGCAGCTCAGACGCCAGATGTTCCACAAGGAGAAACACCAAGGGGTATGCCATTAAGCCAGTCTCCACAGTGAAGGCCATACCTATTAACTGTGTAGGAAGGGAGGGAGGGAGGAAGGAAGGAAAGAAGGGGGGAGGGAGGGAGGGAGGAAAACAGAAAGATGAAATGAACCAACTTCTATGTATTTTCTCTTAAATAGTGAAAATAAAAGCTGACTTTCAATTACACCATTTTCATTTCCACCTAAACTTGAAGCCAGTGGCTTATTTCCAGAGAAATATGAATCTTTTACTAATAATTCTCAAAAGCTAGGGCTTTCTCATCTGTTTGGGAATATATGTATAAATAGAGGTTTCCCAGGTGGAGGGAGGTGGGGCTGAAAATGGATGATGGAAGCAATGGAAAGGGAAGGGGACCAGCTGTTAAGAACAACAAAAATAAAAGCCCGAGAAGTGTGTGTGAGGCGAGGGGCAGCTGGACGAGACAGGAGTGCAGGAGAGGCGTGAGCACCGCAGCACAGTGTCTGGCCCCTGATGGTGGGAAGGCTGGGAGGAAACAAAGGGGGCTTCCTTAACACAGGACTTTGCACTGGAGGGTAAGGATGTGTCTAAAGCATCTAAGGACACCTAAAATTTCACTCCACTTGATTGAACAGTAAGTGCCTGTTTCCAACTATTGGCAGATCTGAAAAAGCCAATGGTTCTGTTTTTTGTTTGTTTTTCACTGATTTCCATGTGTCCCATGAATCTGGAATTCACAAGGGGGTCCTTGTGTTTTTCTAGACCCTGAAATGCTAATGGTTGCACAGAGGGGCCTGTGGTCTGGGAGCAGAGAAGTGACAGTCACCTCTGTCAGTCAGACTGTCTTCTTAAGGAACGGCCCTAAAAAGACAGGAGCAACCTTTAATCCCAAAGCCCAGCTTGTCAGACTCAGTAATTTGCCTGGGGCTTCAGGGTCAGGATGAAACCCAATCCCTCGAAATGTCTTCCCAGCCCTCTCTGCTCTGGGCGCTGGGCTGCCTCAGTCAGTGATCCTGCCTCCTCCTAAAAGCAGACTTGACCTGTGGAGGCATTTTCATGTGTTTCTTAATAAGGTTAGCTCTCCTTCCTGAATGTGTCATATCCTCTATCTGTTAATATATCCATTAAGGTTGACAAAGACCAGCCACGGGGGGACCATGGCTGCTTTGGCCTTCTATCTGTGCCCTGCACCCTTGATCCTGTTTGACAGGCAGGTTGCATCTGGGCTCCAGACTTCACGGCCACTTCAAGGTTTCTGTCAACAGCCTGTTGTATGGAAGAGGCCCAGCGAAGCCCAAACAAGAAAACCAGGACGTAGAAAGGGTTTCTGCTTTGCGAAAAACACTGAAAGCTCCCTGCAGAACGTGATGGCGATTGGCACAAAAGACAGGCTTCTCCTTCAAATATATGAACTCAACAAAAAGGAGGGGAAAGCAGATTTTTGGTGTTTTCTCCTGAAAAAGGAGTGGGAAGTTAGTTTTCGGCCTGCTCATCAGAGGACAAAATGTCATCCTAATTCCCAGGGTCAGACGTCCTCTTTCATGTACTAACTCCAGAGAGGAGTACTCACGCCGGCTTTACTTGCTCTTCTCATAGGTTTATAATCGGTAGCTTTACTGCCACCTTTCACCCTTTTTTGTCTTCATGATCATCAGTTGGAACTGGCGTTTTGGAAAACTGAGTCATCTTCTTGTTGCCTGTGAAGACATGACTTCCGAGCCAGGACGCAGGCGCAGAACCTTCTCCTCCTGAGAGTGTCTGCTCCGTCTGGTGCGCGCTGTATTCCCTAGATTATAGATTCAGAGAGACGGAAACTCTTCAGTGTTTACTGGTCTCTTTTCAGCATGTAATGTCCTTTATTTGAGTCATGACAGCACAAGAGAGAGTTTTCTGGAATTTCCTGGCTGTTCTCCGTAAGGTTCAAATGACATTTTTAAATTCTCTGCAGCCTTCTGTGGCTGAGCTGTCCATTGTGTCTGCACTGTCCCTGAGCTTTCTTGAGCAAGGGCCATTGCATGCTAACTTTCTGTGTTCCTATGTTTATAAATAATTCAATAAGGAATCGCTTTGTAGCACACAGTGCTGCCTATTTATTTGTAGTAATCAAAATCTGGCTTTTGCCCTGACTGGTGTGGCTGAGTGGTTGAGCATTGTCCTGCAGAACTAAAAGGTCACCGGTTCAATTCCTAGTCAGGGCATAAGCCTGGGTTGTAGGCCAGGTTCCTGGCTGGGGGCTCACGAGAGACAATCAATGTTTCTTTCTCTCTCCCCTCCTCCCTCTCTAAAAATAAAATCTTTTTTAAAAATCTGGCTTCTTTGTAAAATCACCTCTTTAAAACAAATGTTTTACAAACTCTAGGGATCTAAATAAAAAAAATATTTTAGTCTCCATCTTTCCAGATTGCAGTTTTGTGCAGTTTTAAAGCCACATACCATTTTGATGGGAAGAGTGAAACGAAATTCCCAGCCTCCCTCTGTCATTGGTCCACTTCCCTCCCAATGACATAAAGTTTATAAAGGGAGTGTTACATTTTCAAGCTGTATTTAGAAAAAACACAGGAGAACCAAATTTACCAAGTGCTTACTTCTTAACCCATTCAGTCTTGAAGCAAAGTGGAGGGAGACAGAATTAGGTAGTGATGGGTATGCAGCAGCATAAGATTGGTGTTTTCTGAAGCCCAGCACAGAGAAAATAGTTTTTGGATGTCAACCTTATTTTTAGCATAGCTTCAGAATTTTATTCACTCTAAATTGTCCCTAAAAATTAGTTGTTCTGGAACCCAGCCCCCAAAAGCTCAAGTGTAGGGGAAAAGGATAGATTTAGATACATCAAAAATTCAAAAGCTGAATCCTGGATGGTGGGGGATGAGAGGAGATTCTATCTATAAATGTTCCTCGTCTGAAACAAAGGTTAAAAAAGGAAAGAAAAGGAGGACTACAAGCTCTTTCACAAACCAGACTGCATAATCCCTGCAGGGGATGGTGCGCCAGAGAAAACGTTCCATGTGCACTTAAAAAGTATGTATATTCTGGAGAGAGAGAAGATGGAGGCGTGGTAGGAGGGAGCAGATTCCACTTCCCTCTACACACGGGAGAAAAACCTAGCCGATCAGTGGAGAAACAGAGCAAACAGCCAACCATATCATGACATACATGAAAATTGGACATAAAAAACTGTAGCAGACATTGAAAAACCAGACAGTAAGGAGAGTGCTTCAGGATAATAAGGGCCCAGGGATCAGCGCCAGGCCCAGGGATCAGCGCAGGGACCAGGGAGGTTGCAGCCCCAGGCCCGGCGCTCCCAGGTCTGCCAAAGGGCACTCGGGAGAGAGCAGGGTCAATTGCTCCTTCCCCAGCCAAACACAGACTGAGCAGCACCAGGGGAGGCCTGGTTGCTTGAAGGCACAGAGAAAGAAGTGAGGACTGAGAGACAATCACACAGGGGCGGTGACCACCCACACATAGTCCTGGGAAGAGTGTGCTCCAGAGCCTGTGCAACCACGGGCAGCCTGGCCGTGTGCCACGCCCGCACCCCTGAGAGAGTGTGGCTTTGTGGAAGACCCGGAGCCCACCGCCGTGAACAAGGAAAAGGCATGGATGCTCTGCCGTCTCGCCAGAGCACGTAGCCATGAACACGGGGAAGGCGAGCGCACTCTGTAGGATCCAGGGAGCCAACAGCCATGATCTCAGAGAGCATGCTTAGGAGGGCCCAGATCCCACACTCAAGGCCCTGCAGAGGGGCACCAGACTGGCTTTGGGGAAAACTCTCCGCTAGCCCTGGGGAGTGTACACAAGAGGCTGTCCCAGTGCTGAATGGGAAGGGAGAAAGGACATACCAATCGCCCCTCAGCCTGCTGAAGCCAGCAAGACCAGAAAAAATGGTTTGGCCAGTTTGAAACCAATAAGAGTTTTTTTTGTTATTTTGTCTTTTTTTTTAAGTAACTTTTTAATTTTTAATTCTTATTATTTTATACCTCTCAATTCTTTATGCTTCTCTTTCTTTTTTTCTAGTGTTATTCCTTCCTTTCTTTCCAAATTTATCTCTTCTTCCTTACATCTTCTGCTTTTTTCCCGTCTTTTTTTTTTTTTTTGGAACCGGCAAGTTATTGCATATTTGTATTATCCTTTTCTCATTATTCTTACATTTTTTATTTTAATAGTATTTTGGTATTCCTCTTCTTTCTGTATAGTCTTCTTTGCTTGGCTGGTTATATTGTATCGTTTGACAGGTTTCCCCTGTTATCTCATTCATAGTGTATTGCTAATTTACTGTCCTTCATTTGTGTTCCATTAGCACACTACTCAAGGTTCTGTACTCCCTATTCTTGTTATCTAGATCTCACAGATTCTGTAATACAATTGTTGCTCTAATACTATTGTAAATAATAGCTATTCCATACGATTGTAAATACTACACAACACCCCTCCCAGATCTTAGCTCACTTCACAGTTTCCCGAACTCTATTACTGTAGTGATTAACTCTATTCTCTCACACCCTACACCTATTTACTATTCTTTACTCTCACCTTACCTCAAAATCTGACCTCTCACAACCTCACTGCTTTCTAGATCCAACTCACAATCCTTTCTTTCCCAATAAGAGTCTTATCTTCTTTCCATGCTTTCTAAAAAGTAGTTAGTGGGGTGAAAGGTCACAGTTAACACTATACATAGCCAAAGGATCTCCTATCTCTTCTCTACTGGCTGCTAATGTAAATATCATAGACTACTCTCTTGCTGTCTTAAACCATTTTGCCTTACCCCTCTAAACGATCACAAAAAAGAGTAGGGGGAAGCTGTGAACACCAGGACACACGAAGGAGACTGCACCACTGAATCTCACAGGTATTCTATCACAGAAGTTCACACCATAAACCCAGGGAACCAGAACAGATCAATTG